ATAATCACCACCACAAGCTCCAAGGGAGTTGGATATTCCTCCTAAAGCTCTAAAAACACTAAGAACTCAAGGAATGGAGAATTGAGAGGCTTGGAGGGGCTAGGGTTTTCGTTTCTGGGAGTATGGACACTGATGGAGAGAAATATTAGGAGTTAGTGATATATATATATATATATATATATATATATATATATATATATATATATATATATATATATATATATATATATATATATATATATATATATGGCCCAAATCCAAAGATCTAGGGTTTCGAGTCCATCCACCACCGTGCCGCAATTAACACTTGATTGCGTCCCTACTTAAGTGATGTGGTAGCTACGACAGGCACCATATATGTCATAGTTTCTCAAGAACTCTAACTCTTCTATACACAAACGATTTTAATCCAAAGAATTCGTACCTGAGAAGTGGGCGTTACAACTCCCCCACTTATTTGGATTATTTGGATTTCGACCCGAAATCGACCTTTTTAGAACAATTTCTGATAATCTTGCGCATTTCTTCCTCCGGTTCTCACGTCCATTCAGGCCCTTTTCGATGTTATCATTGCGCCTTCACTACTACCACTTCCTTGTTTCGAAGCTTCTTTGTCTTTTGCTTGAGGATTGCGATCGGTCGCTCTATATAACTCAACCTCTCGTCTACGTGAATGTCCTCGAGTAGCACAATAGCGGTCCGATCCACCAATCACTTCCTCAGTTGAGAAACGTGAAAGGTATTGTGAATATGTTGGAGTTCTACTAAGAATTCTAACCGGTAAGCGACCTTCCCAACACGGGCCTATATTCGGAACGGACCAATATACCGTGATCCTAACTTTCCTTCGAGAGGCTATTCTCTAAAACCACAAATCATTCGATCACAATTTCCTTCAATAGGCTATTTGGGATAACCACTTTCTCCAAAATGAGTTATTTTTTACTGTTCAAAATATATAATGTGTATCTTTTTCTCATTCACACCAAAAGATTTTAAAATTTTCTTTCTACTCCGAAATAGTCATTTCAAAATGTCTAATATCATTGCTTTTCAATAAAATGTCACATTTATGTCATTTTATTGTATCTACTTCTTATTTTCTATGTTGTTTTTAACTTTTTGTTAGATTTTAGTAAAATGAAAGCATTCTCTCAAAATTCCAAAAATGTTCATCGCATTTTGGATTTGTTTTTGAATTCCGGAATAGGTTTTTTATAATATGGAACTAGTTGTGAGACTCATGTATTACATGTGTTAATGTAAAAAAATTAAATATAAAGGTCAAAATATTTTAGAACTTTGATTTATAAGAAAATAAAAAAAATAATGATTTATTATAATGGAAATGTTTTTTTTTCTTTTAAATTTAAGCAAATAATTTAAATAAAGAAAATAAACTAATGAACTTTAATTTTGAAATTTTGAAATTAAAGTTTATTAGTGAAATTAATATCAATTTATTACTACATTTATTGCAATTATTATATTACAATATTGTGTGAAATTTAATAAAATAGAAACCCTCATAAACTTACATGTGGAAAAAAAATTAATTTAAAATAACCACAAAATGACATTTGGCAAATTGAATGAGAGTGTGACAAGTGGCAAAAAAAAAATTTCATTTATTAGAGAGGAAGATTATTGCAATTATTAAATTAAAATATTATATGAAATTTAATAAAATAGAAACACTCATAAAATGACATGTGGAAAAAAAATTAATTCAAAATAACCACAAAATGATATTTGGCAAATTGAATGAGAGTGTGACAAGTGACAAAAAAAACTTTTATTTATTAGAGAGGAAGATGATCTATAATTTATTTTGTTGACAGAAATATTATTTAATGTGGCATAAAATTATTTTGGAAAGTTTTTTTTTCGAAAATTGATCATTTTTCCCAAAACATGCAAAACTTAAAACTTGATAAACTTTATTTATTCAGTTGTTTTCCTAACATTAGTAGGAGGATATTTAAATTCTTTTTTTAATTTCTTTTTTAATAAACATTTAGAAATGCAAAACAAAAAAATCTAAATCTAATCAAAATGAACTTAAATTTAGAAATATTGTTAAAATTCAATAAAAATCATTGTTTTGTTATGAGTTGTAAGATGAAATCAAACAGAAAAAGTTTAAAATCTAATTAAATAAAATTTATAATTACATCCCAAGTACTACCAAACACATATGTCCTTAAAGTATATGAATGCCTAAAAACTAAAAAGGGTTGGTTGTGTTCCATGCATGAAGACGTGCGGAAATAGCAAAATGCGACGGAATGAAGCTGTCTTTTACAAAACATGCGATGTTGTGCTCTTTTTCAATGTTATAACATTAATACATTATTCCTTTTTATGTGATTTAAATTATTAAAAAACATTATACTTATCATTTTGGGTTATATTTAAAGAACATTATACTTATTTTGTGGAGACTTCAATTTAAAATTTTATCCATCAATAACTATTACAATATATAAAATCAACGACAAGCAAAAAGATTAGGATTACCAAACGCTTACATATACTCCATTTTCTTTACCAACTCAAATGCTTAAAGCAAAACCTTCTCTCTCTTCACCGGAATTCATGGAGGAAGATGGGGAGGAGGAGACGCCACGATCTCCATTCTGGTTACAAACTACCAACAACGTCGGCCGTATTCAACGCTACCGCCGCCGTCTCTCATCCCTCTTCTTTAACTCCGTCGTCTTGATCATCGTCTTGCTCTTACTTGCAATTCTATCCATGGTGTTCGTCATCCCAAATGTTATTGATTTCTCATCAAACGTTTTTAAGCCAAATTTAGTCAGGAGAAGTTGGGATTCGATTAATTTAATCTTGGTTTTAGTCGCTTTGGCATTTGGGTTTCTTAGTAGAAATGTTAATAATGATGAGAAAGTAAGTTATGATCGGAGTTTGTCGGAATTATCAACCGGAGCTCCGATGATCACGTCTCCCTCAAGCTCAACCCCACATCAATGGTATGATTTCCCAGATCAATCCATGAGTTCTACTACTGGGTTACGGAGGCAAAAGACTAGCATCTCTTACCCAGATTTACGGGAACTATCGCCGCCGTGGGATCATGGCGCCGTCGATCCATGGCGGTTTTCAGATGATACACATTTGAATTATTACAAGGTTTTGGAGTCAAACCGGAACTACCTCCGGCAACGGAGCCGGCGAGAACAGGATTCTGGAAATCAGGGCGTAGTTGATGTCAATGCGTTTGGTGGTGTTTCTCAAGATAGTTTATATACTCCGGCACAGAAACCGGCGGTAGCGGAAGAAAGATTATACATACCACCACCACAACCAATGCCTCCGCCATCTCTTCCGGCGCAGCCGCCAATTGATACTGTGAAAAAGAAGATGAAGACGAAGCGAAGAGCTAGAAGCTCTGAACCCCGAAAAGTATTGTCGCCGGTTATCGATCCGTTGCCGGAGCCTTCATCGCCACCACCGGTTAAGCAATTGACTGAACGGAAAACGAATGGTGGCAATGCAACAAAAGAATTCTTTACGTCGTTTTACCATAAGAAGAAAAAGAAGCGTCAGAAGGAACGGAGTTTCGACGATTTACAGAGTCTTTTACACCATTCTCGACCACCCGCGACAAGATTTCAGCTACCACCAACGTCTCCGACGCCTCCTCCACCACCACATCCTCCATCGGTTCTCCATAAACTGTTTCCAACTAAAAAAGAAAAGCAAAAGATTATTACATCAGCCGCACTACCTCCTCCTGTACCACATACGTCTCCGCCTCCACCGCCACCTCCGACGAGTACTGCATCCCTTACACGACGACCCACCAGATCACAATCAGCTCCATTCCTTACCGATAATCCTGGTGTGCCATCGATGCTTGGAAAGTTCAACAGTATAGAAGACAGCTCAAGCGGAGGAGACTCGCCGATGAAGCAAGTTCCTCCACCACCACCGCCGCTACCGCCCTTCAAGGTGCCGGATTGGGAGTTCGCAGTGCAAGGTGATTTTGTTAATTTGCAGAGCGGAGTGAGCTCCAGAAGTGTGTCTCCTATCGGAGATGAAGCTCAGTCGCCATCATCCGTCGTAGATGCAACGGTGGCGCCGCCGCTTTTCTGTCCGAGCCCCGACGTGGACACTAAAGCTGATAACTTCATTGAAAGTTTCAGAGCCAGATTACAACTTGAGAGAATGTCCAAACTTGGGCCAGGCCCGGATTCAGGCCCAGGTGAGAGTTAATGGGCACGGGTATCTACGTGGTTATTTTATTTAAATTCTTTTGGTGATATATACAAGTCTTATTATTTATAAATACATTTGTGGTTTCGTTTTATATGTTACCATATTTAAATTTTCGTATTTATTTGGTGGTTGTGACGTGGGTATGTAAGATGAGAGTCGAGCTATGAATCATAAAATTACAAAGCATGTCACCATGTGAGGGTTTGACTTTGGCTGGTATATATGAATGAAAGAATGAACTACAACAATTTAATAATAATAAATAATTGCGGAAAAATAATAATACAATCAAATGATTGGTAATATTAATTATATAGTTGTCATTAAATTTGAAATAATAGTTTTTACATTAGATTTTCATAAAACAGTATAATTATTTTAATACAATCAGACAAAAATCATTTGGTATAAATGTATGTTTTTGTAACTAATATTTTTGGGTAAATGGCACAAAAAAACACTCTTTTTACACAGAAATTCGATTTTGACACCGTGTTATTTTTTGTGTCAATTTTGACATTGTGTTATTAATTTTTTACTAAATGTAACCATATGACCTACTAGAGTCGGTTAACCGGTTACCTGCCCCTAATACGTCTTCGTGGCATCGTCCATGTCACCCCCTTTCCCCTAATTTAACATGTCATCCCCCTCATCCCCTCATTTATTATCCTACGCAAAAAAAGGAGAAAAAGTTTCTACCCTCATTAACTAGGGTTTCTACCGTCTGTAACTTCGAAGAAAGGTGAAAGCTTATCATGAGGAACCCACGACGTAAGATAAGGAGAGCACAACCGTTCGATGAAATGGAAAAGGGACCATATTACGACTCTGATTTTGAAGAAAGTGAATTAGAGTCGGAATCGGAGAGTGAATCAGAAAGGGCATTTGTTGTCGATGAAGAATTGGGTGACTATGATGCAAATGAACACACCACTTTTCCACAGTTGAAGGTACCTTTTGATGCCTTTCTTTATGATTTCTGCAATGTTCCTGTTTACAATAAGAGGGAAAATGTTGATGATGAAGTCATTAGAGAAGAAGGTCATTCTGATAATGAAATTGAAGATGACGAGGATGAGGTTGATCAAAAACCAACCAAATATAGTGTTCATGACCCTTCTGTTCACTGGAAGAAAATGAAACCACATTTAGGTGAAAAGTATGCTAATCAGACTGAGTTAAGGTTCTGACTGACTAACTATGCAGTTCACAATGGTTATCCAATTAAGGTGACCAAATCTTCTAGTACAAGGCTTCAAGCAAAATGTGGTTTAGACAATAAAGGCAAGATATGTACCTTCAAGCTGTGGGCATCCTGGATGAACAAAGAGAAATCATTTCAAATTAAGGGACTTAATAATAAGCATACTTGTGTTAGGGAGTACAAGCATGCCACATTGGTTAATGCTGACTGGATAGCCAAACAGTTCTTGAAAAAATTGTGTGTTAGACCAAAAATGAAAGCCAGGGAGATGAAAGAAGAAATTAAGAAGAAATTTTTATGCATTGTGTCTAAGGGACAATGCTATAGGGCTAAGAGGAAATCACAAGAGATTTTAACTGGAAAGTTATCAGAGCATTATGCTCGTATATGGGAATATGGAGGAGAGATCATCAGATCAAACCCTGGTAGTACAGCAAAGGTTGGAGTTGATATCAAAGAAGATGGTAGCAGTGTTTTTAAAAGATTTTATGTATGTTTTAAGGCTATAAAGGATGGGTGGATTAGGGGTTGCAGGAGAGTCATTGGACTAGATGGTTGTTTTCTAAAAAGGCAATGCAAAGGGGAGTTACTCACTGCAATAGGTAGGGATGGGAACAACCAGGTATATCCAATAGCCTGGGTTGTGATTGATGTTGAAAACAAGGACAACTGGGAGTGGTTTATTAAGTTGCTTGTGGAAGAACTTGGCTTAGAGTTAGGTGAAGGGCTGACAGTTATTTCTGATCAGCATAAGGTATGTTTACTCTTTTTTGTTTGTTTACTCTTTTATATATGGTTAGTCTTTTTTGTATCTTTATAGTTTTTTGTATGAATGTAGGGCTTAGTAGAGGATGTAAAGGAGAAGTTACCATTAGTTGAGCATAGGCAGTGTGCCAGACATGTGTATGTCAACTTTAAAAAGGTGTACAATGGGATTGATTACAAGAGACATTTTTGGGCAGCTTCAATGTCAACCACAGAGTCATCTTTTCTTGAGACAATGGAGGAACTCAAAGAAATGAATGGGGGTGCTTATGACCACCTCATGGCAAGGAACCCAGAGAGTTGGAGCAGAGCATTTTATAAGGAAGGTAGAGCATGTGAAGCAATAGAAAATGGTATATCAGAGAGCTTCAATTCAGTAATTCTGGAGGCAAGGACTAAGCCACTTCTTACTATGTTGGAGGAGCTCAGAATGTATGTTATGGAGAGGTTTTATAGGATGTCTACAATATACTTAACATGGAGGGGAGATGTATGCCCTACAATATTGACAAAGCTGGATGACTAGTGTAAAGATATGAGGTAACATTATTGACTAAAATTATTCAGTATTCATTAAGATTATTCACTAACATGTATTGCATGAATTACAGGTTGTGGAGTGTTGTAGCTAGTGACACAAATGTATTTGAAGTGAGACTAGGATTTGAGTTTTTTCAGGTGGACTTAGGAGAACAATTCTGCACTTGTAGATTATGGGAAATATCTGGGATTCCATGTATCCATGCATGTGCAGCTATGAACCACACACAACAACAACCTGAAACACTGATCAGCTCATGGTTTTCCAAAGAAAAGTTTGCAGAGACTTACAAAGGCAATATCAGGCCTCTAAATGGTAGTAAAATGTGGGCCAGGACACCATATGCCAAGCCACTGCCACCACCTGCAAGGAGGATGCCAGGAAGACCTAAAACCAGAAGAAGGAAACATGTCACAGAGAAGGATGGAGAGTACAGGAAGATAAAGTTTGTTGGAGGTACAAAGATATGTCAGAACTGTTGGGAGGAAGGGCATAACAAAAGAACCTGCAAGAATCCAACTAAGCCCCAACCTCCAAAGGAAAAGAAAAGAAAGGGTAGGCCAATGACTAGGGATGTGGCAATGAAAAAAACAACAGCATCCACAAGTCAAAAGAGTCAAAATAGTCAACACACTCAGGAAATGGATGGGCAAATGGATGGACAGGCAAGGTGTAACAGTCAAAAAAAGGTAAGCTTTATGATTTTCAAAGTCAAAACTTTAGTGTCTACTATTGCTAACACAATTACTGTTTTATTAACAGGGTAAAGCAAAGGCATCTCAATCTATTAAAGGGATACATGAAGGTAGTAGCAAGTATTTTGAAGATGAAGGGCTGCAAGATGTTATGTTGGTACAGGATTTAAAGGAGGATGCACATGCTACAGAGTTGCTTGCATCAGGATACTCAGAGGATGAGGTGTATCATGTACTATATGAACAAGATTTAGATGTTGAAGTTTTGGCTGAAGTTCCACCTATTCTTGAAACTGTCCACAAAGAAGTTCCACATGTTGAAGTTTTGGCTGAAGTTGACATTGTACCAGAAACAGAGGATGAAGGCATTGCTGAGACACCACCATCCCAAAGGTTGATGAGAACAAGGAGGCCTTCAGAGAGAATTACTAAAATTCAGACTGGAATGAAGGCTGTTGGAAAGAAGGTTGTTGGACCAGGTCGAAGTAGGTTGGACCCTGTTTCTTTGGAGTAGATTAGGGTGCAGAAGGTTAGGGGTTGATGGGCATGGTTTGTGTTATCCTTTTTTGTATTAAGTAATGGACCCTTAAGTAATCCCCTTGACTGTAATTATCTTTTGTATATGGTATACCCAAACATTACTACCCCTTTTGTAAATGGGATGGGTAAATATTGCCAAAATGGTCAATTATCTTTTGTAAATGTTATCCTTGGTATGGTGTTTTTGTTACATAAGTAAAGGGTAGTGTTGGTATAGTGTTTATGGTCAATCATTTTTATCTTTTATAATCCCAACTGTTACATAAGGTAAGGGTATTTAGGTCCTTTCTTTTTTGCTTACTGGTTTGTTCAATAAGTAAAGGGTAGTTTGGTCCACTTCTAACATATACCATCATACTTCCATAAGTAAAGGGTAGTTTGGTCCACTTCCAACATATAGCATCATACTTCCATAAGTAAAGGGTAGTTTGGTCCACTTCCAACATATAGCATCATACTTCCATAAGTAAAGGGTAGTTTGGTCCACTAGCATCAGACTTCCAATTCACAATCACAAACATATACACTTCATCATATATATCAATATTGGTCAACATTGGAACATACAAACTTAAAGGTAGTACATCAATACATCTAGACACAAAAATGGTCAACATTGGACCTTAATTGGCATTAATTCATACTTAAAGACCTACCACAACCTCTTCCTACTTAACCCTTGTACACCATCCACATCAAAATCCCTACCATGACTACTAAAATAACAAGCAAACCAATCACAACCCTAACAATATCCATAAAACTTATTTCACCATGATGAGGGTTCCCTTTTCCCTGTCCAGTGCCTTTTTTCTTCTTTGCCATAACTTCAAACAGAAGTTCCTTATACCATGGACTTACTTCACTGTCATACCATTCAAAGTAGCCACAGTCTTCAACTTCATCGGGCCAGTACCTGCACCCAAAGTATCTTCTTCCAGGATTCTTCTCACTCGTTGATATCTTCAAGGGGGCAATTACTCCACAATAGCACGTCCTAGAGGGACCATTGTTTGACTTGTTTACCCCACTCGTTGATCCAGCTGATCGAGACGAAGACACCATTGCACAATCCTCGTGAATAACTGAGATGAAAAAGTGAAGATCGATCTAGGGTTCTAAAGGGTTGAAGCCGTTAGGGATCATTTATAAAGGCTCAACTGCCATGTAGGATCTTACGTGTATGCCACATAAGCAAATGGCCCACTCAGCAATATTCAAACCGGTTTACCTGAAGGCAACTAGTCATATGGTTACATTTAGTAAAAAATTAATAACACAGTGTCAAAATTGACACAAAAAAAAACACGGTGTCAAAATCGAATTTCTGTGTAAAAAGAGTGTTTTTTGTGCCATTTACCCAATAGTTTTATGTTTATCATTATTAACGAGGTAAATCTAACATCTTTGGTTGGCGCTTATCACAATATTGTTAGTGTTTGTAACTAAATAGTTTTACGTTTATCATTATTAATGAGGTATAACATCTTCATGATGCATGTATCACAATCAGTGGCGAACGGTAATGGGGGCCAGGGGGCCATGGCCTCCCCGGTTTTACGGTTTCTAATACTCCTTTATATAGCTTCTTTATGAAATGAAACAAGTAACAATTAAATTGGTTGATTAGACCCCTGGTTTTTAGATCACTTTTAAATAATTGATCAACCAAAATCCCGAAAATCACTGAAAAAATTAAAAGAAAATTTGTTTTATTAAGAAAATATCTCAAATTCTATAAAAGAATAAAAAATCTAGTCAAATTTACACCATTTTTTTAATTCAAACTTTGAGTTTAAGAAACAAAAAACCCAAAAAAATTATTTCGGCCGCAAGAAAAACTCAGTCTCACCGGAAATAACGTCCACCGGTCCCGTCCTCAGACTGTCGCCTTCTTTATGCTCTCTCTTTCTCTTTATCTCCATCGATCAATGGACATTCCAATGCCTCTGTATGCCTAGGTATGCTCTCCGCGACTTTGCCGTTCGCCACCTCGCCGCGCCTCTCACATTTTACTTTCGTCGTGCGTTTGCCGGTTGCCGCCCTACTCTCTGTCGGAGTAAGATATACTAACGGTACTTCTCTCTCTTTCTCTTTCTCTGTTTTTTCTCTTACATAAGATATAAATGAGATATATGAAGTCACGTGGACAAGGATAAAAGGTATAGTAAAATGATAACAACTATGCTCTTATTAATTAAAATATTCTTTTCTTATTTATTTGATAAAAAAATGTATGTTGTTTTTTGTATTATAAAATTTAAAAGTAATTTGTAAAAATTAAAACATATGTATTTATGTAAAAGATTTAAAGAATTATAACGCTCACATATATTTATTTTGAGCGTCATAGTGTGATATAATCACTGATATGTGTAAATAACTTATATTCTAAACAAGATTTATGAGTTTGAAAAAAATATAGGTTATGTTTTTTTTTAATTATTAATAAATACATATATTATAATTTAAATCAATATTTTTTATATATGATTTTGTCTTGAAGTTTTAATATCGGCCCCTTTGTTATAGTGTTTGTGTTCCGCCCCTGATCACAATATTATCAGTTTTGGGCTCCCGGCAGGAAAACTTTCCAGATGGTCACCCATCTTGGAATTGTTTTTTGTCTGGATACGCTTAACTGTAGAGTTCTTATGGGACCTACTGCCCTCGCAACACGTTGTGACATGGAAGTTATTCACATCCTTTATAATGAATGATTAGTTTTCCTTCCCAGACGATGTGAGATTCAGTGTAGGTAGCCACCCACCTTAACCAGGCCCCACGTCGTTTGGGAGGAAGAACTAAACATTCCTTATAAAGGGATGATATCCTCCCTATCGAAACACATTTTAAAATTTAAACCATGAGGGCAACATATATCATAAGAACTTTGTAGTTAAGCGTGTCCAGAAGAAAACAATTCCAGGATGGTGACTCCCTAGAAAGTTTTTGTATCAGTAGCCCAAAACAGACAATATTGTGATACGTATTCGAGGATAATGTTACAGCAGTTAACAAAATTATTTTGTTGTATGGGCAGATTGATGGTACCCTCTTGCTCATGTTATATATCTTAAAACGGTTAACAAAATTATTTGGTTGTATCTGTCTTGCTCATGTATATATTAAAATTCAAAATATTGATTTGCTCATGTTACATATATCTTAAAACGGTTAACAAAATTATTTGGTTGTGTCCATCTTGCTCATGTTATATATTAAAATTCAAAATATTGATTTTTATAATTATACACAATTCCATAATGGACAGCTTTTCCTTTCTAGCACGGTTCATTTCTTTTAACTTTTCCACTTCCAAAAAACCCTCAAGATTATCGTCTGACCCTTTGATTGAGTTTCTTTTCTCCTCCGCTTCAGTCGATGAACTTTGTGCTCCTTTCAACTTTCTTTTTGCTTTGTCTCGTCCCATAGGACAAGTTGGAACTTCATAAGGACAGTTGTTGTTGAGGTTAATCCCTCCGATATGCGCATCAGAAGATTGACTGTGGGTGGACTCTGAAGTTTTGGTTCGTTTGGACATCCTCGCGTAATCATCTGGACTTTTTAGATCTAGCCATTTTTGATTGCCCTTCACGACTCCCCAAAATGATTCATTGACAAAAGGTTTTCCGACTTTCGCCTTGTAAATCTTTCAAACCTTGGCCATGACATCCACCTCAGTTGCACCGCTTTGAGGATTTTTCATCACGTTCATGTATATGTCGTTGAGCTCCATTGCGCCTCGGTTAGCGTTCCTCCACTTCGAGTAAAGTGACTGAGGGTTGTGGTTCCACTTCGGGCTCTTGAAAGGATTTTTGAATTGGATCTTCAACGGGGCCTTCATCAGAAGAATCGGATGACTCGTCGAGTAGGCGGCGTGGTTGAGATTGAAAGTTAGGTTGCGGTTGGGGTTGAGAAAATAATTGAGTTTCTTGAATCGTTTCAAATGGATCAAGATCCATATCCGGACGAGGTGTTGGTTGAGATTGGTTGTGGTAAAATCTCATTGGTTGAGAAGAGAATGGATTAAATGGAAACATTTGCGGAGCCATTGTAGGAAAGTAGAAGTTAGCGGGAGAGTGAATTGGTTGATCAAATGATGGTCAATAACATGGTGGTGATGGAAGGTTTGGGGATGAAAGGTTTGTTGATTGAGTGTTTGGAGGTGGAAGGTGTAGTGATGGAAGGTTTGAAGATTTCTTTTTGTTGGTTCTTGGGGTTTTTTTGTTTGAGATGAAGACATTTTTTTTGTGTTGGTGAATTGAGATGGTATGTGAGGGAGATAATGATAATTTGTGTGTGTGTGAAATGTTAAGAATATGGTTTGATTCATAGTAGTTGAATGGTAGGTGAAATTTTTAATTTTTATTTAAATTAAAAAACGTTTTTTTTTTTTTTTTTTTTGTGTGTGAAAGTAGTGAAATGGCATTATAAATTTTGAATTTATTATAAAAAATGTTTTTTTTACTGTCGAAAGTAAATGTACAATTGAATTTTGTGGAAAGTAAATGAACAATTGAATTTTAGGCGGTTGGAAATTAAAGTGGTAAATTAAATAAGTGGTTGGGAAAAGGAGTCAAACTATTTGCATCTCATTCAATTCCTCTGCACCAATGAAATTATCCTACTGCATTCTCTTTCTACTCGTTATGCACTTGACGTTTAACTCTTGGCGAGTCCCCTAGCGAGAGCTAGGGGCGGTGTTGTCTTCTTTATAGCGAGCCTTGGCGACCCGGTGGCGAACCCCACTCCGTTCAGCCTAATGGAGCAAACATGAGATTTCAACGGTTAAAAAATAATAATAATAATAATAATAAATAAATTGTAAGACATCTAGGTGGAACAAAAATGAAAGTTTTTTATTATATGATAAAATTATCTCTCATGGTTCATTCACCCATATCCAAATACCATGATTGATTTGACACCTCATTCGTCAGAAAAGCCATTAGCAATTCAGCATATTCACCTCACCATTGATGAGCAAATTTGCTGACATCATTCGATCTATATTCTATACCCACATTTTTTAGACCTAAAACATTCAATATAAAATGTTCCCCATCCTTGGAATTGTAACGGGTCCTGCTAATTAGACCACATATTCACTTACTGGACCCCAACTATTATGAGTTTTCAGCTTTTTCAGACCTTGGGAATTGTAATTGTTTACTTTTTAATTTTATCTATTTTTACAATTGCAGTCACTACCAGACTACCTCGAAGCCATTTTTACTTTTTCAAAATTTTTACAATTGCAGTCACTACCTCGAAGACATTTTTACTTTTTCAAATTTTTTTGAAGGTGAGTGTCTTGTTGATACTAAAACTTATTTAATTTAATACCAAAATTTATTTCATTTCATCCGGCAATAAAGGATCCTATGGATTATCGTTTTAATGTTAAAAATAATAATAATAAACCATCATATTTTTATTTATATAAAAACCGAAACATTATTAACATAAAAATACACATAGTGCAAATTATGGATTATCATTTGAATGCTTTTAGTTGATAGTGACTTCTGTACATAAATTATATATATAAGTACTTTGTAATATATTTATAAAGAATGATTTTTATAAGAGAGCAAGAATCATTAGCAAATGCTTTGGGTGTTGTGATTATGTGAGCATTGGACTTCTGGTCAACCCTCTAGCTAACTTAGGAATAAGAGATTCCTCTTTCCTAACTTTTTCAATCCACCTGGCTTTTATTCGAATCTGTTCAATGCTTTGCTTCAAGTTCCTACTAAATGAAGGACTCACTCTGCTTCCAAAAAACTCTTCAACTTCCTCCGCCTTCTCATTGCTGCTAAACTGAAATTAACGTGTTTCAATCAGACACTAAACATGTGTTCACACAATCATAAGTCAAATAAAAATTACAAGGCATGAGATTACTTACAGGTGTCACAATATCTCTAATGAAATGATGGAAAACCATCCCTTGACCCCATCGCTTTACAATTGCATTCCAGTTGTCCTGAAAACAAAATAGGCACAAGTGAGAAGGATATTAATTAAGTTAAGCCTCTGTATATCATGAGAAATTAAAGAATGTAATAATTAGAATTAATATGAAATTAGGGTATGATTCGATCGATACCTTTAACCATATCCATGCTGTTTCACGGGCTTCCAAGCTTATGCGTGCTGTTATATAAATTGTGTCTTGTTCTCAGATCTGTGAGGGTAAATTTTTTTAAAAAATAATGGAATAATAATATTAATGGTTTAAATAAATAATGTGGAATACCTCATTGGAAAACATGAGGTTTAGAACCTCTGTGACTATATCTGATTCTGGAGAAGAAGCTATACAACCTGTAAAATGTCAAAGATTATATATAGCAGGAAAATCTGACCCCTTTATAGGTAAATGGATCGATTTGGATTATATTTTATAGGCTAAAAACTATTTCAAAGAGAATAAATACCTTTTTTCCCTCTTGAAATATAAAGAAAAATGAAAATAGAAAATCTGATTTTTTTTACTATAAATGCTTACTCAGAATCCTAGTTTTCTCTTGAACTGCATCGGCTTCTCTATATAGCTTTAATAGCGAATCAAAGTCACTTCTTTCAAGAGCACTTGAAGTTCTCATAATAGAAATGTAAGCAGCCTGAAGAAATTAAAAGCTTCAACAAATTAATACTTACAAACAGAATAACAAGAGTTATCTGTTAGTTTATACTTTATATTTACCTTTCTAATATCAACAGGAAACACTGATGTGTTTTTATCATTTATGTATGTCTGAAATCGCTTCTTTAATTCTTCATGAGTTTCTTTGTGGCTAAAAGTAGCTAAGGCCATAAAAACTTCTTCTCTTAACATTGTGTTCAAATGGCTTTCTCCAGATACAGGTTCTACCCCTAATTTCCTGAAAAAAATAGACATTGTAACTCCAAACTTCAAACACTTTTAAGCAATGGAAAATAGAAAATTCCACATTGATTTCATGGCTTTGAACTATTAGTGGACATGCTTACTCTGAAGATGATATGATGAGATCAATAAAGAACTGGTTCAGATGATTCCATGGATCATAAATAGCATCCTTTAATATCTTTGCAACATTATAACAAACCTGTAAAATAAAATAGTCAGAGTCACCTTTTTATTCATCATTAGAAAGGTTAACAAAACATCAAGAGTTATTACACTGATAAGTCTTGATAACACAAGATAATCAAGATCATCTCTATATAGATCCATTAATGAAAGAAGAGATAAAATTGACTCTTCACCAGCCTCACACAGAGCATAAGTATCATCCAATATCCCTGAAAACAGAACCATTTTCAGCATAAAATTTATTAAAATCAATATTAGGTTTCAAAGGTTTAGGGTTTAAGGTTTTTTTTAGGGAATACCAAATTTATCTTCAGGAGACAAGCATTTATCTTGTATGGCTTTTCTCAATCGAGCTGTGAGTGTACTATCATACTTCACCCTATAAAAGCCAGTGTGCCCAATGTTGACTTTGACCCACATCTTTTCATCAATTTCATTTCCATCTTGCTTTAAACTTGTGTAATAAGAATGATAAAGCTCTGATAAATCCAATTTTCCAACTTTTGTTTCTAAAACAAATTTTTTATGGTTATTGTAGGAGCCAAGTGATAAAGTTATGGGGACAATCCATTGGCCTTCACTTTGCAATTCCAATGACATAAATCGAGTCTGCAAATTGAAAAGTATGTTAAGGTGAATATTAAATAATAAATTGAATATCAGTAGATGAATTTATAATTTTGATGTTACTATACCTGTACAAATTCCAAATTGTTATTTTCAAATCTAACATGTATAAGTGGATACCCAGTTTGTTTTGTCCATATGTCCATAAGTTTGTTCACTTCAAAACCAGATTCTTCTGTAAGAACACTCCATAAATCCTCTGTCTTTGCATTTTTGAATGCATATTTCTTCATGTAAGAACTCAATGATTTCTAGATTCATCAAACAAGCTTGATCACAAACACATACACTTGGATATAGCACATAAGTTATGTTAATTAAAAGGGTATTTTTGGAAATAACCTGGAAAATTTCATCACCAAGATACTCCTTTAGCATACGAACAAGAGATGAGCCTTTCTTGTAACTTATGGCATCAAAAACTTCAAGCACTGAGCTGGCATTCTCTACCTCCACCTGAAATTGCATGCATCTTATAAAGGACATATTAATTTAATGTAACATTTAAACTAATAGTAAAATAAATCACTGATTATAATAATTTGTTTACCTCAACTGGGTGTGATTGTTCCAATGAATCTATACGAAGACCTCCAGCTGTCACTTCAAGGAACTGTGTCCAAATTCTCCACTCAGGAAATAATACATCGGTTGCTAAGTAACTTACCTACATTATCAAATTTAACAAAAATTAATAAGAAAATAATCATTTGGGTTATTGTAGTTAACTTAAAAGACCTTACCCATGTAGCAAAACCCTCATTGAGCCATAAATGAGTCCACCATTCCATTGTTACCAAGTTCCCAAACCATTGATGCCCAACTTCATGTGTTACAACAATTGAAAGCTAACATGAAAAAAGAAAAAACGATTATTAGAAATATATAGACTTTATGAAAGTAATAACAAGTTGAATAAGTGTTTAAATATATTATATATTTCTCTACTCTTTGAATGTTAGTTGCTGCTGAATGCAAATTATCATGGAGAAGTTCAGTTTCACGAAAAGTGATCAGTCCATAATTTTCCATGGCCCCACCAGAGAAATCAGGAACAGCTACCATATCTAGCTTGGGAAGTGTGTAAGGCATTGAGAAATACCTATGAAATTCCAATAAAAAAATATTACTAAAGTCTAAATGTATGCCAATAGTTAGGGTTTATTTGGTATGATGTAATGGAATCATCAAGGAAAAGAGAAAACAATCGTCTATTGTATCTTTTGGATAAGATGATAAACCACTCTCAGTGGCAATGCATATGATATAATTTATAAATTTAAAGTTACCTACTTTGTATATAGTTCGAGTGCCTTGATTGAAATACTTAAAGCTAACTTTCCCTTCTCACTCTTATCAACAGGACAATATGCACGAACCCTAACACCATCAGCTGTTGTTTCTTCAATGTAATCAAACAAACCAATCACAACAGCCACCAAATATGTTGACATAATTGGAGTTTCTTCAAAACAAATAGTCTTATAATCTCCATTGATTGTCTCCTTAGAAACAGGCATATTTGATAATGCTGTCAACTGTGATGGTATGTTGTCAGCTGTTATCTTGAAGGTAGCCTGCATTCATTTAGCAGGAAATAAATAAGTTTTTTAGTGCCTAGGAAATTTATAGTTGTTATTGATGTTAAATACATTGCTATTTTGTGGATTTCAAACCAAGTCAAAGGGTAGAAAATGAAATTTTCATCAAATCACATGCCTTAAGAGCAGGTTCATCCCAGCATGGAAAACACCTTCGTGCATCAGCAGGTTCAAATTGAGTCACTGCCATATTTTTTCTCACTCCATCAACATAAGTCCTGGAAAAATGAACACTCAATGATTTATATGGATGTTTATAGATTTAACAAGTTAATGAATAATGATCAACCCGATTGTAAGTAAAGAAGAAAGTGAAATACCCTTTGTAGAAACCCTTCATGTGTTCGTTAAGAATTCCAGTAAAATTAATCTCCAAAGCACCTTCTCCTACACCGAGAGGTGCCTCAAATACTAACACAAGCATTTCGGCATCGTTGTCCACCACCACTTCACTTGGAACCACTTTCTGCAATTTCACAAACACCTGGTGAGCATTCCGAAATACAAAGACCTCCGGAAACAGAGTGATTGAACTAACTAATTACATGGTTGTTGGAGTCTGTGAAAGAGGATTCAGTAATCACGAGATCGATTGAATTTAAGACGAGGAACCGGGTAGATTCCAAGATTGATAAGTCAACAAGTACAGAGCCGGAGAAGTTGCATAATTCGAGGTTGGGTTTCAGAGCTAGATCGTAACGATGAGGGGTTGCGAATTTTGGAAGCCTGCTTTGGCCTTTGAAGTGTTCCAGCTTCTGTTCTTCATTTTGGTTCATGATGTTCATATCAATATCATCGGCTCAGTGTAATTACATATAGCAGTGGCTGCAACAGTGACAAAACTATAGAGATGTGATAAGGCAGATAATAGGCTCTCTTGGTGCCGTGTTTGACGCGTGATCTGCTGCATGATTTGGCGCTGGATAATGGGATATGGCGTAGTTTCTCTACTGATGCTGATTGTGACTGTTGCATCCAATAGCCTCCTTGCATTTGTAATGTTTGGAACGACATGGGTCCTTTGTACCACAGTAGCGGACAGAGGATTTCGATGAGGTGGCGTTGGGAACATGGAAGAATAGATGTGAAAGGGTCGAATTTTTGTTTTTGGTGCTGCCGCTGTCCAAAATCCGGGTGGATATATCCAACTTAGCGATCGTTCTATTCGGGTTGGGTTCTGTTCGACCCATTTATGTCTTCTTTCTTAACCCAAAACAATCTATTTAATAGTCGATTAATTTATGTATTTTCAATCTACCCTTTTAAATTAATGGGTTGAACATTAAACCATTTTTTTTTAATAAAAAATGTAAATAGGTTAAAGAGTAAATTGCATGAATCGTATGTGCGATGCGTTTCATTCCTAACTTTTGTATTTTCATTTGTATCGTCTTAGTTAGTTTGAAACTTCTATATTTTATCTTTTCCTGGGTTAGGATGTTTTTTTCCGTTTAAATGTCTCACATGTCTTGCACGCAGGGATATTGTGAACAATTGTATATGGCATCATTAGGGCATAACAAAGCATTACATACCCTATCATCGTTCATTACACTTCAATTCATTGAGAAAACCTAATTTCTTGTTCAACACAAACAATGGTGGGTTGGAGGGTACGTGAGGACATGGATGAGATAAATATTGGATGTCATTATGGTAATGCAACTTATATTTCTTTCTATTTTCATCTTCGTTGTGAATTTTAAAAATGGTTATTAACATATTCGTTTTCCTTCTAAAGTTGGCCACCCGGTGATTTTTAGAAAATCAAAGAGGTTTGATTTTATTGAGATTCAAGAATGAAGGTGAAGATTAAGTATATGTCAGTTCTAGTGGGAGTGTTGTTGTCTTCATCATATTGTATGTGATGACAAGTTGTTCATGAGTAACGGTGTTCCTGTTTAAAAAAGTGTGATATTTTGTCTAGGGCATTTTTATGGAAAAATAAAGATTTATAGTGATAGATCTAGTAGACTAAATTAGTAAAGCATAAAGGTGATGGATTTTCTAGATTACTTCAATATACTTGCGGAATTTCACATAACTAGCTTATGGGCACATGCAATCCTAGAAAATTGTATGGTTTTCCTCATAATAGCAACATACTTTGAAACTTCTAAATAACCCTAGCAAAAACGAAAATCACAAAGGTTTAAACCACATACTTTATTGCTATTATATCGCAAATAACAATATACTTTGAAAAACCCTTATTGGAATGCTAGCCCTGATAGTGTGAAAGTCTCTAATGAATCACACCCAAACACTAGGAAAATCCTAGGAACGAAATGAGAGAGGGGAGAAGAGAATTTCGAAAATCCTTATAATTGTGCAGGGTTCTTGAGTCTTATGGAGGTCTCTATTTATAGTTGTAGGAAATCCTAATTTGAATTCAATATAATAATATTATATTACAATTTAAATTCACTTTCCTTATCAACCAAGGAGGCTTCAAAAAGCCCTAAAAATGACTCTTAGAACCGTCCCCTCCTAGGGAGGTTCTATAATGCTTCTTTGTTCAACTTTTGAACAATTGCACTCTAACCCTTAAATCATTAATTAATTCCAATTAATCCAAAACAATTAATTAAATTAACTCTGATTAATTCTTTATTAATTACTTCCATTTCTAATTAATATGTTAATCAAATAATATATTAACACATTATTTATCTCTCTCTTATTATCAATCCAAGTCATTTATTGGTTATGAGGGCAACCCAAAAAGGATTTTACTATTATTAAGCTGATTATACCAATTTAGTTAAGACCTTAAACACCCTAATTCAATAGTCTCCCATTTGGATAAGTCGTCAACTACAATTTCAAGTATAATTCTCTAAGCAACTAGTAAAAAGTGCATTCCAAGCCACTGCCAAACTCTGATTAAATCAGACATTAGCCCTGAGATAAGTGATCAACTATTTCTCCGTTTTCCAGATATCGTATGGACACGAGACATAGATTAGAATAAATCTCATGGTCCAAGATTTTGTTTCTCGATTTCTAGATTTGTGATGACACTTATAATGTCAACATCAAATCACCAATGGCCCAAATATATCATTTTTCCTTTAATAGGCAAAATGAACGAATAAACTTTGACTATATAATCATACATTTTACTCGTCATATCATGCATGAAATAACACTTTATGACATCCAGTTACGGGTGCATTAGAGTAAACCAATGCACAATAGATTTGCAAACTATGACTTATATGTCTCTATTTTAAGAATAAAATATATTATTGTCGTTAGAATTACTCGTGATTAAAATCCATGAAGCAATCTCTAAACGCGGGTTTAACCAATACTCACAATCCTCATTTTCTAAGTGTTCATGAATATTGCAACAATCCTCATGCAATGTCCAATACCTATGGACAATCTACAAACAATTCATGACAATATTAGATCAATACCAACTTCCCAGAAGTACCGACTATGGCATTTTGAATAACTTAATATTCAGGAAGTAAATCATGTAAAAATACAAGAATAAATTAATTGACAAATGGTATCACACACTTTGAACATAAATAAATCTCCATTAATTAATCACCATTCAAGTACAATTTATTAGTGTTACATTGTTTCAAAATATCAACTAACTCCTAAAATTTAGAATCTAACATAATCTCTTAGCTCAGTGCTCCTAGCATGCTTGAAGTGTTTGGTCTTGCTTAATCCCCTTTTGTGAGAAAATCAACATGATTGTTCTATGATGATACTCGATTCACCACGATTTTGCCTTCTTTTACTCGATGTCGAATGTAATGATATTTTCTGTCGATGTGCCTTGATCTACCGTGATCATTTGGTTCTTTGGTCAAAGCAACCACACATTCGTTGTAACAGAAAATGTCCATTGGTTCTTGGATTGAAGGAATTGTTGGATTAAGGTGTCTAAGCTCATAACTAAATTGGTATATTATTGTAATTAAAAGTAAAGACTTTTTTTGGGTTGCCCCAATAACTAGAAATTGATTAGAATGACATTTATAAAGAGAGAAAATAATTTATTAGTTTATTATATGATTAATAAATTAATTAGAAATGGTAATAATTAATTAAGAATTAATCAGAATTAATTTGGAAATTAATTTTGGGTTAATTATAATTAATTAAGAGTGCAAGGGCTGAGCAACAATTGTTCAATAGTTGAACAAAGGGTTAATATCATAAAAACCCTCAAGTTTTCAGGGTTTTATCGGTTTTGCCCAAAGTTGAATTTTATATTCGTTTTTACCCTAACATTTTCGAAAAAATGTTCCATTTTACACTTTTACCGGTGATAACAGGTTTTCCAGGTTAACATTATATTAAATTCGCAAAAACCCTTAAGTTTACCTTTTTTTGCATTTTTACCCTTAAATTTATAATTTTTTCACTTTTACCCTAAGTAATTTTTTTCATAATATACGTATTCATGCAGAAAAATCGTATTTATATACGAAAAAATATTTAATTAAATATTGTATTTATATTTTTTTAATGTTATATATATATATATTATATATATATATATATATATATAGATATATAGATTGTTTTTGTTGTGTGTGTGTGTGTTGCAAGGTTATACCCTTTAAAAATATAAATAATATTTTTAGAATTATGAATACGTGTTTTATAGATATAGTTTTTAGAAGTATAAATACATATTTTTACATTTTTATATATTAATATGTATCTATACTTCTAAAAATATATTTATACTTTAAAAAAACATATATCAAAATACATATTTACACTTCTAAAAATATATGTATATACTTATATAAACATGTTTATGATTGAACAAGTTTTTTTATTGATATGTATATTTTTAAATACATAAAAATACGTATTTGTAGTTCTAAAAACATATTAATTTGTGTTTTTTTACATCTTAAATGGTTTATCCAAGAAAAAAACTCACACACACACATACACACACACACACACACATATATATATATATATATATATATAACATTAAAAAAATGTAAATACAATATTTAATTAAAACTTTATCGTATATAAATACGATTTTTCTGCATGAATACATATAATATGAAAAAAAACACATAGGGTAAAAGTGTAAAAAAAATTATAAACTTAAGGGTAAAAACGTAAAAAAACTGTAAACTTAAGGGTTTTTTGCGAAGTTAATTTAATGGTAACCTGTTATCACAGGTAAAAGGGTAAAAACGGACATAAAATTCAACTTTGGGCAAAACCGACAAAACCCTAAAAACTTGAGGGTTTTTATGACATTAGTCCTTGAACAAATGAGAGGTTCCAAAACCTTCCTATGATAGACATTATTGGAGTGTCTTATTAGGGTTTCTGGAAGCCTCCGTCTGATAATTAGGAAACCAGATAATTACTGAATTTGAAATATTATTATTATTATATGTTCAAATTTAGGGTTTCTAGGGTTTCCAAGCAGTTATATAAAGGGTTGTACCCTTATCATTTTCGGCCTACATACATACACAGAGAATTCTGAAAATTCTTATGTTGTTCATCTTTCCTCTCTTGTCTTCTAATTTCAAGGGTTTGGATGTGAGTCATTAGAGGCATCATCATTTTGGTGCTAAAGTTTTCCAAAGATCAATAAGGGAATTCTACACACATACACACATATAAAGGGTTGTACCCTTAGCATTTTCGGCCTACACATATACACAAAGAATTCTGAAAATTCTTATGTTGTTCATCTTTCCTCTCTTGTCTTCTAGTTTCTAGGGTTTGGATGTGAGTCATTAGAGGCATCATCATTTTGGTGCTAAAGCTTTCTAAAAATCAATAAGGGAATCAAGAGTATTGTTTGCTATAACAATACAAAGGTATGTAACCATAATCTTATGAATTTCGATTATAACCTAGCGTTCTAAAAGTTTTATTTTATTTTGCTTTCAATATGTTAAGACATAAATCCAATAGGTTGCATGTGCCCTTGATTGTTAAGAGTTTTTCCGCAAGTACATTC